GCTCACAGCCAATGCCCACAATACCCGCAGACTTAACGGATGGCTGCAGTGCGCCTGGCGGCGCTGCCGGTAATAACAACCCTGCGGCTGCACAGGAAGCCCGTTTCAATTTCTGTTTCTCACAACCTGCCCTACTGGACGACCTGCTCGTGTGTACGCAAATGAACCAAACCCAATCGGCGTCACAGAATGTTTTCCATCGTTTGGTGCGTCGTATGACGCGCTTCTTTGTCACCACACGCTGGGATGATACCATTAAACGGCTAGTGGCAACCATCGAAAGACTGGGCTTCGGCTGCAAAGTGGGCGATGGTGGTGTAGTGACCATATCGACTGTTGATCGGCGGAAGCTGCGTTTGGTCTTCAAGGCGTACATCATTGAGATGGATGGCAAGATATTAGTAGACTTCCGTCTCTCTAAAGGCTGTGGATTGGAATTTAAGCGTCGCTTTATTAAAATTAAAGAATCCCTTGAGGATATTGTGTTGAGAGGACCGACGACGTGGCCCATTGCGATCGCAACAAATACTGTGCCTTAAAGAAGAAGTATGCGGGTATATACATACAAATGTAGTTGACAGTTACAAGACACAATTTTAGAATAAGTTTTTTTATGTACTTTATTCCAAAGTCGAATTTCCTAAACAAATGTATACAAAGAAAATATGTATTCGAGATATATTTATATTAATGTTATCGCCTCACTCATTTATTATATATGTACGTCGCATTATTATTATCATAATTGTTTTCCCCCATATCCTTATTGAATTTCATTGACGCATAGTTTTAGTCACTGACTTAGTTTCATTTTTGGGCTGTATTAATTTATTAAAAGAAACGAGAATCTGAGAAATGTTCATATACACATTTTATTAAAAAGATTAGCAAAAGAAAATATAATAATTGCTGAGAAATGAGCAAATTAAAAATGAATTCTTCAAGTGTGTTAATTATTGCTTAGCAAAAATATTGTCAGATAGATAAAAGCTCTTATTAAGTCTGCAAAGCATTTACGGCTTGGTAAACTGTCGCTGGATAATACCAGAAACGTTAGAATTGGCATAGGCCTCGCTGAGCCGTGCTTTATCGTGTGATTTCATAAATTTTATGATAGAGAAAATAGTAAAAGCTTTAGATCTAAATAGACAAGTACGATGATATTGATATCAAAGGACTTAACAACTGAAAATCCAACGCAAAATCGATCTTTACGACAGTGTGGCCAATTGAAAAGCAAAGTCCTCTCTCGACGAACCACCAAAACCGTAATCTACAAGTCGCTCATCACTATCCTCCTGCTATATATGGACCATGACAACATCTGCTGAGTCGAATTTAAGAGTTTTCGAGTTTTCTTTTGCATTGGCAACAACGAATACAGATGTGCAAGATATATAAGATTTTCAAATATCTCCCTTCCGGTTTTTTGTCTTGAATTTCGCGGCTATGTACAAAGCGCAACAGAGCTCGTATCTGGCAACACTAATTTGAAAGGTCTTGACATAACCTACAAAACAACGCATGATTAGTTTGGATATTGCGTTCAACAGTTATAGACGTGTAAACATGGAGTTCACTAACGCCGAAATTCGCGCTATTTCAAAGTTTTCCTTCGTTAAAGGCAAATCCGCTAGAGAAACGTTCCGTGAGATTAATGGTGTTTTGGGGGATGGTACTCTATCACTTCGAACCGCGGAGGAATGGTTTCGACGATTCAGAGCCGGTGAAAACGACACCATGGATAAGCCAGCCGGCGGAAGACTTGTGACGACAGATACCGATCAAATCATGGAATACATCGAGTTAGACCGGCATATGGCATCTCGTGACATCGCCCAGGAGATGGGAGTTAGTCACCAAACCATTTTGAACCATCTGCAGAAGGCTGGATAAAAAAAAAGTTTTATGTTTGGGTGCCGCATAATTTGACGCAAAAAAAAACCTTCTGGACCGAATCAACGCCCGCGATATGCTGCTGAAACGGAACGGATTCGACCCATTCTAGAAGCGGATGGTGACTGGCGACGAAAAATGGATCACATACGACAATATCAAGCGAAAACGGTCGTGGTCGAAGGCCGGTGAATCGTCCCAAACAGTGGCAAAGCCGGGATTGATGGCCAGGAAGGTTTTGCTGTGTGTTTGGTGGGATTGGAAGGGAATCATCCACTATGAGTTGCTTCTATATGGCCAGACGCTTAATTCTACCATCTACTGCGAACAACTGGACCGCTTGAAGCAGGCGATCGACCAGAAGCGTCCAGAATTGGCCAACAGGAAAGGTGTAGTGTTCCACCAGGACAACGCCAGACCACACACTTCGTTGATGACTCGTCAGAAGCTACGGGAGCTCGGATGGGAGGTTTTATCGCATCCACCATATAGCCCGGACGTAGCGCCAAGTGATTACCACCTGTTCCTGTCCATGGCGAATGCCCTTGGTGGTGTGAAGTTGAACTCAAAAGAGGCTTGTGAAAAGTGGCGGTCCGAATTCTTCGCAAATAAGGAGGGGGGCTTCTACAAGGAAGGTATAATGAAGTTGCCGTCTAGATGGAAACAGATCATCGAACAAAACGGCGCATATTTTAACTAAACACTTTTTATAAAGCAAAAAAGCGGAGGGGAGATATTTGACAACCTTATATAGCAAATCAAGAGACATCGGCTGGTTTGGTCATGTCAGTCAAGCATTCCAGATATGAAAGTATTCAATACAGTAGCCACTGATGGAAGTTGAGGAAAACGTGATGTCTTTATCCAGCGGCCATATAAAGAAAAAGAAACTTGGTATTTGTGGTAGGACAGAAAATCTTTCGCCGGTTATTTTAATAGTCATACGAAGGAAGACAACGTGTTCATGGATGCCATCTACAAACATTTGGAACTCAAGTAAAAGATGTAAAAGTGATTCCTTGAAAGATATGCCTCTACCCTATTCACCGGCTTTACGAAAGAGTACGGTGGCTCGAACTCGATGTAAAAGTCGACGGCGTCGAAATTCCGACTGTAAACAACTCAAAGTTACTGGGAGTCACATTTGGCAGCCTGCATTCCTTCACTCCGTATACGACCGTAATTACGCCAACACTCCAAAGCCGCAACAAAATCCTCAAAGCGTTAACCGGCAGCGTTTGGGGGTCGTAAACCACACACCGGGTACAATTGAGACTCATTTGAAGAAGCTACAAACCGGCCAAAACACCGCCTTCAGGACCGTAACAGGAAAGCTTCTGATGTCGGCAGAGCATCACTCGCACACCGAAACATCTAAACAGCTTAATGCTTTGCTGTGCAAGGAATTTTTGCTGGTATGCTATCGAAGAGAGCCTGAGTTTTGGGTAAAAAATGAGAGTCGCCATGGTAAAATTTATTTCGCGATATAAGTGATAAAATCGGGATATTCTCTAGCTTCACAATGAGTACTCCTGAGATGTTGATAAGCAGGAAAACTTAGTATGTGATGTCAAGTGAGGTCCAGGACACAAGATCGATGGGTTTGGAGCTTATAGAGAGCCGTATTAGATTAGTGGGCTTTAGTGCGCGGGCGTGCAAAGAAGTGGTTAGCATCCTGCCGTGGCTTATTACATACAGAACATACGTAAAGTGCATACATACATATCTTGTGATTAATTATGGATAGCTATGGGTTGAGGCTACCACAGTACCCCACACGTAAATGCCTATTACAAGTACTACACAGATATCTCAAGCTCTTTTCGTACTATGGATGGTGGATGGATTCCAAACACGTAATTCACGGAAAGATAGCTTGTAAAGGTGTTTGCGGACTCTTTGTGAATGGAGTTTATGGCCTGTTGGTAGTTTGATCTGTACAGCTGTTGTGTAATGTGGCACTCAATAGCGCTCTTTACTCGAGTACTACCTACTTTATGTACCTATTTGGTTCTATATTTTGTAACCGCTGAGGTGTTTTTCGGCCGAGCTCCTCCTCCAATTTGTGGGTGCGTTTTGATGTTTCCCCAATAGACGGAATGACCTACAGTTTATACTAAGCCGCCACCGAACGGCTGATGGTATTTTTTATGAGGAGCCTTTATTTCATGTCAGAAATACACTTGGCGGGTTTGACATTTCCTGCAGAAGAAAATTTAACTTAAATTTTAGACTTTTGCATGTTGGTCGCACTTGGATTGGACTGCCGGCCTGCCGAATGGCATTACGCAATGCTAACCACTCCGCTACTGCGGTCAGCAGTTAGCACCTTGCCTAAGAATAAAAGTTTTCAATATTCTGGTCAATATCGAGACTTGTCGGTATATGACATCAAGGAAACGTCCTTTGGTGGTGAAGGGAGTTGCAAAATATGAAAATTAAACAAAAGCGAAAAAAGGAAACCACCCTGCGGAACCTTTTGGCTTTTTTTTTTTGGAGTTTAGTGTTCGAAATCCTACCGAGGACTTTTGACCACTCCTTACTTTAACTCTTTCAAAATCAAATCCGTTGAGCTTACTGAAAAGTAAGGGCCTCCCTGTATATATGTAGAAATCGGATGAATATCGGAGAAATACTCTGGTTATTCAATCAAAGCCTCGTTGCGTTCAATTATGTCCATACATCTTTGTATATACCATTATGTGGGTATTTAGTAGTGTATGTATGTATGTACGTACGCAGCTATTAGATTATTGTTAATTTTAATGGGACAATTACAAATTAAATTATGAAATTTTTATGCGCCAGACATCACGAGCTCAGACACAGAGACCTGCATGCGTACATACATACAAAAGCATGTTTAAATACTCGCATATCGCTTTTGGAATCTCTGAAGGTAATAACTGGAATTTTTTTGGACGCTTAACTTTGACTTAAACACTTTCGGGTCATAAGTTGAAAATTAAGTAAATAAAATTATTTAATAAAAATAAAAAAATGACAAATAAACAAAAAGTCGTCACAAAAAGCCACGCAACATACATACATGTATATTAAAATGTTCGTCTATTCATTGGTACAAAATACATAGAGATTTCATAAACGATTCCATATGACAAGAGCATCAAAGGACGCATAGACACATACACAATATACAAGTACATATATGCATTCATATGTATGTTGTGTAAATTAAAATATAAAAAATTATATGAGGTACAAACATACATACATATATTTGAACTATACACAGTGAGCCACACTCAAAATGGGACAGTTGTTAGAATCCCATACCTGAGTACCGTTACATATCTTAGTGTTTCCGTTTAGTGTTCCCGTGAATGTTGACGAACGAACACCAAAAAACAATTCTCGAAAATGCGTCAAACTACAATTGAAGAGCGACAGATAATTATAAAAAATTACAAAGACAACAAGTCCATTCGCGAAATCAGTGAAATTGTTGGCAAAAACAAGTCCACAGTGCATAATATTATTAAACGATATAATGAGAGGGGCTATGTGTGTGATAAAAAACGTAACTTAACGAACCGAGTGAAAATCGATGAACGAAATTGTAGATTTATACTGCGTTTACTGAAGCAAAACCCCAAGATAACTGCCGTGGACTTGCAAAAGCGTTTAAAAGAGGATAAAAGTGTAGAAGTATGCACGGAAACGATTCGCCGATTCCTTAGAAGGAACAAATTTCACGGTGAAAATTAACTGGTTTCAAAAGAGGACCCAAAAAAGTTAGGTTAGTTAGGCCAAAGTAAATAATTGAAAATATCATTCAAAATCTCAGCAGATTTTATCTGACTTTTATGTTTTATTTACAGCTGAAGCTCAAATAGAATCAATATACCTTTTAATTGGCAATCATAGCCGAGTTAACAACAAGAACTCAACTTTTCGCCATTTGACGCGTGTGGAAGACACAATGTGACGCCAGGCTCACCTCGTAAAGTTTGGTATTTATTCATCGAGGGAGGATTTTACTGATCAGCGCTTGCTTACACAGTCCAAAATAGCATCTGAGTGATTCCGGGTTGGATTTTAAGGTTAATATTTTGGTTGGTCACCGCTTAGGAGTAGGCTAGATCAGTGTAAGTCATCGAGATCATCTAACGGTAGGTCCTCGAAACGAGCTGTTTCGACAGCTTTGCACTAGAGGGAAAGTAGGCGCTAGATGAGTTCGTTTAAGATATTGCGTCTTACCGTCGTGCGCTGCCAGTTCCATTTTCCCGCTTCCTCATTTAGTCTGGAAAGAGAAGAACTAGCACCATCGTTAAATGCCAGCTCTACCTATTCCGTTTAGCTCTGCAGGTGGTATTATTTTCTCTACTGTTAAGTTGAAAAAGGAGAATTACCTTGTATGAAGCCTTGTTTGGTACGGAAAGTCTCGAGGAGGTCCTTCCCCAATCAAATGGAACTTTTAGTGCCGTTTAAGGTCGATCAGGAATAGCTAACCTGTTGTATGAATTTTTATAAAGTATTTTCAAAAATTTTGTGCTCTATAATAGCATAGACATATGGAATGCATGGAACTGTTTAAAGGTTTTAGCTACGCCTGCTCAGTCTCCTGATCTGAGCTACATTGAACATTTATGGGCTGAACCCAAGTCTTACTCCAAGGTAAATTGGCAGTGAGACCGAAAAGGAATGGAAAAAAATTGAATCTTATCACCAAGGTACTTACAGGAAGAAATAGAACAGAAAGGGAAATTAATAAAATGAGGAATGAAATTATCTCCTTTTTTGTTTATGAATTTTAAACTGTGAATTTCTTGTATTTCTATCTTAAGACAAAAATTTATATAAATAATAAACAAAATTTAAATTCATACTACATACATATTGTGTGTTTATATTTGTTTTGATTTCAAAGTGGAGCAGATAAATATTTGCGTTTATATGAAGTGCCCATTTTTGACTGCGACTCAGTGTATGTTGATGTATACGCTAAAAGACAACAGATTTATATATTATATATATATAAATGTGTAGGTGCCTGATTTTTATCACTGCAAATATCTAGTCTTTTCATATGACCTTGACTTTGAAACCATTGGCAATACAAAAATATTCTGAAAAAGCCATTGAGGAACAACAACCCTAGGAACAACAACCCTAAATATTCTAAATATTTATTTGATCTTGAATTTATTATGCTTAAATTACATAGACGAGTGTACTCTGATATATAGTGAAAAATAAAAATTATAGGCATAACTTGTTTTTTCTTTACGATAACTTTTATTTCATGAAATATTTCTGTTAATTTTTCACAACAACAGCAACAACAAGCATGAAGTCGAAACCAATATTCTTGTATTGAATTTTGTGTTATGTACCAATAACACAATGATACTAAAAATATTTTTTTTTTACATAAATATATAAGTAAACCCAGCTGAAAACATTAATATTTAAAGATGTGTTCATGTGCGTTTTACTACAAAACATTAATATTCGTTAAATTGGCGAAATATTCATACTATTTATAACCTTTGTGATATCTTTGGTTTGTTTTAAACTTTAAGAGAACAAAACAAAATAATAATAGTAATAATTGAAATAATAAATAATTTGATGTGTTTTTAGTCTTTTATTTTGTTTTCAATTTTTCGTATATGCTATTTTATTATACCGAAATGAAATCATTATTATAAACAATAATTTAAAATGTATAGTTTAATATATAAAAAGAACAATTAAGAAGTAATAGTTCTGGATATATGTAGTTTAAATAAAATTTTTAATTTAATAATTAAAATGTATTACAAAGCAAATGATACATAAGTTAATCAAAGTCAAAAGTGTGCACAAAATTTCATAAACATTATTATTGTTGCTAGGAAGTAGTAGGTGGCTATATGTGCACATACATATGTACATACAAATAACTGTTTGTACAAGTATGTTTAGGTACTAGGTTTGCATTTATTATTGTATGCAAGTATATACGATTCAACTCAAATTGCCACACCCACACTATGCTCTCCTCTCCTCTTTTATTATTTTCACTTATGTATTTTCTGCTTTGTTTTCACTGTGCATGTTGGAATCATCATTATTCATTGTTCGCGAGCAGCGTGCATATTTACTGTGGCTTTCTGAAGTTCTTGCCGGCAAACTTCGCCTTGGCGCCCAATTCTTCTTCGATGCGAAGAATTTGGTTGTATTTGGCCAAACGCTCGGAGCGGCATGGAGCGCCAGTCTTAATTTGACCAGTCGACAGACCAACAACCAAATCGGCAATGAAAGTATCTTCAGTTTCACCGGAACGATGGGATACCATGGTGCCCCAGCCATTGCTCTTGGCCAACAAATGAGCCTTGATGGATTCGGTAACAGTACCAATTTGGTTGACTTTCAACAAGAGGCAGTTGCAAGCCTTCTTTTCAACGGCAGTCTGAATACGTTTTGGGTTGGTCACGGTCAAATCATCACCGACAATTTGAATTTGAGTGTTGGCAGTAATGGTGGTCCAGGCCTCCCAGTGATCCTGATCGAAGGGATCCTCAATGGAGCTAATGGGGAATTCCTTGATGAATTCTTGGTACAAGTTGGTCAATTTCTCGGGCGACAACCATTGTGCCTTGTCGCTGTTGGGGTTCTTGAAGTCCAGATCGTAGAGACCATCCTTGTGGAATTCAGAAGCAGCAACGTCCATGCCGATTTCAACCTATTTTAAGAAACATATTAATTATGTTGAAATTAAATCTGCTTTTAAATCACAAACAATTAAGTCATTTGTATCTTTTTATTTAACTCCATATTTTTTCAAACTAAAAACCCACAACAACTCACCTTGCCGGTGTAGCCACCCTTGGCAATGGCATCCTGGATCAACACCAAAGCTTCCTTGTTTGACTGAATGTTGGGTGCGAAACCACCCTCATCACCGACGGCGGTAGCATCCAAGCCGAACTTATCCTTGATGACCTTCTTCAAGTGATGATACACTTCAGAGCCGATTTTCATGGCTTCAGTAAAGCTGGTAGCACCAGTTGGCAGAATCATGAATTCCTGCATGGCCAATTTGTTACCAGCATGACTGCCACCGTTGATTACGTTGAATGCAGGCACAGGCAAAATGATATCCTTGTTGCCAGCCAAATCAGCAATGTGTTGGTAAAGTGGTACACCCTTCTTGGCAGCGCCAGCTTTGCAAACGGCCAAAGAGATGCCCAAAATGGCGTTAGCACCGAATTTCGACTTGTTCTCAGTACCATCCAATTTCAACATGAAATTATCAATGGCTTCTTGGTCGGTGACCTCAAGATTAGCCTTCAACAATTCAGGTCCCAAAGACTTATTTACATGTTCAACAGCTTTGGTTACAGCCTTGCCGTGATAGCTGTTCTTATCGTTATCGCGCAATTCAAGAGCCTCATGTACACCGGTCGATGCACCAGATGGTACAGCGGCGCGGAAAAGTCCCAATTCGGTGCATAAATCAACCTCAACGGTGGGGTTACCACGTGAGTCGAAGATTTGACGAGCGAAGATTGACTTGATTGGCATATTTGAACTATTATATAAAAAAGATATATAAATGATTTTTAAATAGGTACTTATTTTTTGAATATTTCCATTATTGTTAATCAACTAGTCATTATTAAACTATAAAGTATGAACATATGTACATATGTAAAACCATAGTGAAGGTAAAAACTAATTTTCTTATTAAACTAATACTAATTAATAAAATGGACTCATCAAAACCAAAACGTATTGTTAATTTAAATATGTAGTTGACATAGAAAATTTCCAAATCTTAACCTAAACAATTACTATTTTATTAGTTTTTAATACAACAATATAATTATTTTTATCAAACTCGAATTTAAAAACTATTTCTGTATATAAAAGTTAATTGATATATGTATATGTACGTTGACTAAGTTATTTTCCATTACTGTCTACTACACACGAAAGTCGTGCTCTTGCTTTAAATGACCTCTACAAAGTAAGTAGAGGTCATAAGAAAATTATTTCACGAATAAATGAATTTCGTACTTAATTAGCAAGTATTTATTATAAAAAATGCAATAATATTAACAAAAGCCGCTTCATACTTTGTTGCAAGTATTATTACAAGAATATAATAATTATGAAATACGGAAATGAAGAGGTACACGACACCGGAAAATTGTTATCTAACTGCACTCTCCGCCATTTAATGATATCGAATTATTTGTGCTTTCACAAGTCAAGTCAAAATATATAGTTCGATAAGATCTACTAAGAAATGCATTTGTTTATATCATTTTTTTATTAAATGCAACTAAAGCACTATTAGAAATATATAAAGAAACAAAATTGCACCACAATTTAGAGCACTTACTTTAAGCGTTTAATCAACAAGAACTGTAATGCGAACGGAGACGGATATTTAACACCAAAATTCACCAACGGCGATTGTGGAGCAACTGAAACTGTATGTTGAGCGAAGAGTGCGATTGTGCGAGCAGTTGTCGCTGCCGCTTTCGTGGAACATGACCACAGCAACATTTCCCAACACTTTCTTCCAATTTGTTCTTTTTACGTGTAAAGCTTTTGTTTCCCCAAATGGTTGTTGTTGTTATTGTCGCAGCCGCAATTGCATACGCTAAAATATACGTTGAGAACCCGGCATTAGCTACTTGCGAAAAGGAGTAAAACCTTTTCTATTACTACATACGTGTGTGGATTTCAATTTCAAACCGCAATAGCTGTAATGGTAGCGATAGAGGCGACAGTATAAGCAAGATTACTGAGGTAAATCTATTTCATGAGCCTACTGCCTATTGCCGGTCAATTTATGTATATGCATGCATGTATGTATGTATGTACGTGCATGCGTCGTTATTACGTTGTTTTTATGTTTCACCTTCCCGCTGCTTCCCTCTTCAATACCTTCGGTCGTGAGTATTTGTGGCGAAACTTTCAATGACCTTCGTGCAAGGTGACAAGAGCAGTTGCCGGTCTTAACGCAGTCCACACACTTCCTACGTGCGGTATCGATATTCGTGGGAAAGAGTTGGCACAATACGCAAGTTTCTGTTTGTTTTACAGAAAGCTTCACTAAATAATTCAAATGGTTAAAATTTGTATTAATATTTTTTTTCTTTGACATGCGTTGAATATGAATTGATGAATGCCTTTAGAATTGATTAATTAGAACTGATAATATGTAAGTGTTGGCAAGCTGCATAACAAGTAACTGAACCGGAAGTGCTGCTTTACCATCTTTTCTTTTGCTTCAGCCAGTAAAAGCTTCTTTTCAATACGTCAGAGAACTTACGAGTTATAGGTTCTGTGTTAAGCGCAAATGATCCTTATATAAGGTACTCTCGGCTTACTTTTGTCCCTCCACATCCGCATCTCTTATTTACTCCATTGTAGAGGGCTATGTTTATTTTCACACTCTTATTTCCGGTGGAGGTCGTTACACGCACTGCTTTATTGACACAAGTGGCAGTCCAAGAAAATAATCCAATTTTGTTGGAAAGAGATTACGAATTTTTAATCGATATATTCCCTGAAAATTACGCTACTCATTATATGTTTATGTGTTATGATAAAATTTCAATCTTAAGTTGTAACTTATAAAAGTTTTATGTTTTTTCGATTTTTTAAATTCCAGCTCAAAATATTTATGCACTAATAAATATTTATATATATATATTTGGGAACACTTTATTTTTAATAAAATAATAAACTGATATTATTGAAAAAAGTTAAAAAACTAACTAAGTTAGCAGTACTCGTGTTTTACCAAAATCTTTTCAGAGGAACAACGGAGGAAAACTAGTTGGCATATCTATGTGGCAACACTAATTGTGAAAATCTAATTTTTCATTTGACAGCACTCTCGACAAAATCCAATTGGATATCACTCAGATTGTCATTTGCAACCGAACGATAATAAATACAAAGTTTTGTTCCGTGTAAAAAAACCCGAAAAAATTATAAAATCTCAGGAAAATATACATTATTATTAGCATTAAAAACTAAAAATGACTTGTATTTAAAGTGTGAGTCTATAAAATTGTGTAAAAATTAACAAAATTGCAGTGGAGACAGTCAGTATTGTGCTTAGCCAGATAACCAACCAACTTGGATTACTTAGTGGAGTAGAGAAAAAAAATAAAAAAAAACAAAAGAAGAAAATTCCAACACAGCAATTTAGTGAAGTCGTGTAAAACGTCTAAAGCTGTTGATAATTATCACCAAATACATACAAAAAAGTCCAAAAAAAAAATGCATTGATAAAGCCAAGTGTTACGGTAGTGTGATTCATAGTGAACGTAGTGCCAGCGCAACGTCTACGACTGGGATAGCCTGAAGATGGTGTCGTTGATAAAAAATCAACTCCTTAAACATCTCTCAATGTGAGTAGACTTTAATATATTATAAATGATAAGCAAATGTGTAAGTCTCATTATCGTTAAGATAATAGTTTTTTAAAAATCACAGATTAGCAAATGCTTATATATTAATAAATTGATTTTTCGTTACCCACAGCTGCCCATATCCATAAAAATAATCATGCAATAACCATCGTATTACCTTTGTTCATGTTATGGCTTATCGGCCCGTCGGCTGACACCCATTTTACATATGCATATATGTATGTACATATGCTTATGTGCTTATGTAGATGGTCGAAGATTTCTGTTGTGTTTGTTGTTACTGTTTTTGATATTGTGGTACATATGTACGTATGTAGGTTAAAAGTGGGCGACTCTATAGGGACAACCCACACTTTGCGCGTGCAATCAAGTGAAAGCATAAATTGATGTTTAAAGCATATTATTTACTTACATACATACGTATCTGTTGCTAAATTTGAAAGGACTTTAGTTATTAAATATTAATTATTAACCTCCGACATGCATGAAGAACATGTAAATATAAAATGTTTATTATTAGCATATATGTGTGATATGTTTACATATTTACATATGCTTGTACATAGCGGTTCTTTTTTACCATACTTTCTTGTGTGAAATACTTTACCATTATTCGTTTTTCTTTGAACCGTTAATGCTTTTAAAAGTGATATAAAAAATATTTGAATTGTTTGTATCTTGCGTTGTATAAGTCCGAAAGGGCTTCGTTAGATGGCGTTAGAATGATGACATTTCGTACTAAAAAACCTTTTCTGATAGTTTTGTGATTGGTTGATTCAGGCGCAATTTTGGTTTCGTCGATTCCGTTCCGTTAATTTCGATGTCAAATATGCACCGCAAACTGGAAGGACAAATTTTAAAAATTTGTCGATAAAGCCATGGACATTGTGGAATCGGATCGTTATGTGAGCACTGCTTCGATAACCCAAGAGCTAAAGATTGAACGAAAACCGTTTGGGACGATTTGAATATGAATGCCACACGAGTTAATGCAAAAGAACCTCATAGACCAAAATTCCAACTCCGAATCGCTCTGCTGAATCGCAACAAAATCAATGCATTTCTGAAGCGGCTGGTGACTGGCGACGTCAAGCGAAAACGGTCGTGGTCGTTACTCGGGTAGGCGAGCCGGAAGCGATGGCCAAGGCAGGATTGACGGCCAGAAAGGTTTTGCTGTGTGCTTGGTAGGATTTGCAGGGAGTTATCTACAATGACCTGGTCAGATACAGAACTCGGTACTGTACTATCAACAACCATCTGAAGGAAGCAATCGCCCAGAAGCGGACAGCTTTAGCCAATAGAATACGAATTGTGTTCCATCAGGACACACACACTTCTCCGGGAGTTGGTGAAGATCTAGGGTTCTTATAATACCTCGCAATATCGCATTAAATTCTTAGTGATAACTCCTTCGGCTAGAATAATTTCCGAGACGTTGTTGTTGTTGTTATAGCGGCTAGCATACTCCAGTTTAGGAGCAGGCATCATCAGTCTATGGCATTAACAGTAGGTCCAGGAAACGTAGGGTATGAACAGGGGGAAATAGGTGTTAGATGCGTGGGTTTTAAGGTTAGTATGTTAGATATGTTGGTATATGGTCTACTACAATATCCAGATCTTATTTGTGTGATTTTTATTGCTTGGATGACCTGCTAAAAGTTTCCTGATTTAGGAATCTTAGCTAAACTGGAGAAAACAGTCGTAATGGGAAGATCATTTAATTACCTGCCACGATCCCAACCCAACTGCACATTAGAGTTGTTATCGAAAAATGTGCTGCACCACCACCATGGACCCTGTGCGCGAACTATACTGGTAACACTGGATCTGTCAAAGGCCTTAGATATGATCAATCACGCAGTGCTATTATCGGACAGTAAGGGATCCTGTTGTTGTTGTTGTAGCGGTTCGCTAATCCCGCTTAAGTACAGGTTTCACTAATCTAAGTCGCCGAGGTCATCTAATGTGAGGTCCAGGAAACGAGCTGTTTCTACGCGATTGGACCAAACGGAGAGGGGGTTAGATGAGTCGGTTTTAGGGGGCATGTGGAGAGGTGGTTAGTATCGTGCGAACATGCAGGGCATACGTTGGATATGCTGGGGTCGAGTCTGGATAAGTAGGAGTTTAACTGCTACAGTATCCAGACCTGAATAGAAAGGGATCCGCATTACCGCCGGTGTTGAAGAGATTAACCCGCGGTAAGGCATGCCTTTCGTTAAAGGCGACAAAAATCATATAGTTCCCGCGACAGTCAAATCTTTATACCGGAACGACCCGGATTTCTATCCGGCCAAGGACTGTCACCCCCGCAATATTGTTACTTTGATTGTCTCTGCCGATGCCTGTTTTTATCGAATGTAAGCTGCTATCTTTACGACCTTTGCCACTTCTTCACCGCATGACAACTACAATACAAGTACAACCAGCGAAGGCCTCGGTTCCCCTCTTCACCGGCTGAGCAAAGATGTACCGGCTCAAACTGAATGTGAAAGTAAACGATTTCGAGATTTCGACAATAAATAAGCCCAAAGTTACTGAGAGTCACATGCGTCAGACTGCAATCTTTCATCCTTGTAGAACCAACACCTAAGCACTTCAGAAGGGGAGTACTAGACCTGTTGAACGCCATTCATTTGTGGCATCGCTGGTCAAGTCGATCTATCGGCGGATTCTAAACGGAACTCACAGAGTTTACGTCACCAACTTTATAAAATCTTGTCTCGTGAATATTGTGCTCGGAATTGAATCGTCACCCTTAGCTAAGGAAGATCTAGGTGCCCCGTGAGTTCCGAGAAATAGTGGCATACTTAAAGTTCGTATACTGCAGTATGCTCAACTCTTACCTGTTCAGACCCCTCACTCCGCACGACACCAAACAACTCTTCGCAGGTCCATTAAAATCCATTCATTTAATACACCTCGCCCTGTGGTCCGAACCTGTCGAACTTTCTGGACCTTCGTTACCGTCGGAACAAAATGCCAACCTAAAAGAATCAGAAAGTCCTGTATAGTAGTACTGACTTTGGATGTCCCTTCAATCACAAGAAGAAGTTTCTTTGATTTAATATTCTGAAAATTTTTCAATCTGAGCGTCTTGCTTTTTTATGACTTGTGCTAAAGGTTCCTCCAATCTTTCTCGCTTCTTTGCTGCAAGAAACATGAAATAGCAATCCTTTTTAGTAATAGGTCAGGGTGTCCCGGCTAAGGACTACCAGCTAGAACTCAATGTCAGATTCGATCAGTTAAGATTACGACCCTTTTGTTGTAGCTGCGAAAATATTCCTAAAATTGGGCTTTGGGGAATGTTGGGGGTGTCGCATGTATGTAATTGACGTTTTGTATTCGCTAAAGAGACTCTTGGTTGAGCTCGTCCTCCGATTTGTGCTGTGTGTCTTGAAATTTTTCCAACCAAACCAGTCTAAGTCCTAGAACTCGAATCTTGTCCATTCAAATGACAATACGCACTGCTAACGATGCGGCTCTCGTGATCAATGAGAAGAACGGTACGTATTCAAAATGTCAATGGCATAGTGAGACACATAGAAAGGACGTACTAAATTACAGCGTTTCCATATCGTGCCATTACCTCCACAGATCTCAAATGACAGTCACAGAGAGTTTCTGAAACACACTTCATATAAATGATATGTGCAAAGGTCCGTAGGATTGAACTTTACTTACTTATACAGACCAAACCTCGAGGCTCCGCTTGAGACTTACATACCTATGTATCTCCAGAGCCGTTACCACTTAAATCAGTTGACTTCCTGAGTCTCCTGTTTTCGATTATCTCTCGTAACAAACTCTGCTAGCTAAAGATTATCTGATTAACGAGGTATGGGTGCCGACAGAACGGCTCCATATATGCTCGCACCTGAAAAATTGTATTGATATAACTCGGCCAACGTAATTTTTTTACAACTAGTACAGATTTCAAAACTGACTGGTATATTTCCATCTACTCCGCAAGGAGGGCTGGAGTTTCTGACAACCAAAAAACCTTTGCTGAAATTTTGAAATTTACCCCGGCTGAACTACCACTTTGAAAGCGTAGAAAATTATCCGTTATCATCTTGATTGTCGAGCTGTCTCTCATGGGAAGGCTCCTAACTGAAACCACGTCATTATTCCGAAATGCCTTAGCCTCTTTCACACTGCCGTACTCCAGCTCCAGAGAATCGACTTAAGCGTTCGGATGGAGCTGCTAATCGGGGCTCGTTTCACGAATTTTGTCGATTTAAGAAATTCACATTTAATTTTCCCACTCGCGCAGCCACAATATGGCCAAAAATTACTTCAATATTCAAATTAAATTAGTTTACCAAGTAATATTTCAATAAATATGCCAAGAAAGCTGAGGGAAAGTACTAAAGACTTATATGAAAACTGCGAAAGCATGAAGTGTAAAGGATTCAGTAGTTACAGTTATACTTAATAATAATTTATTTATTAATGCGGCACCTCAGAAGCATTCAACTAGTTGCAAGCCACACTGTTGAAGACGGCGTGGGAGAGGCCGTGGCGGAGAGCTCTGCAATGACGGAATTACCACTTCCAAGTTGTTGGCTTACAGACCGACTGGCACCCACACAGATATATATGTGTATATGTGTATATGTGTAGTCTTTGGAGCAATATCTCTGGTTACGCTACAGCTGCTTTCGTCCTGTCAAGCACCATTGCCAGGAGTATCTGGTAGTGCTGCTCTTCTTACTTCTACACCACCACCACCACCACCACTTGACGGCTGCCATGCAACGCGTTTCGTTTCATAATTCGAGACAGATAACTGCGTTGGCGCCTTGATGATGAAGAAGCAAAAGAAGAAGAAGAAGCAGAAGCAGAAGAAGAGTCGCCAGCGAATAGCGACAAAAGAAGCACGTCTTCCAAGGTTTTGCGTTGCGCCTAGACATCCGGCTCCACTCCTTCACTCCTCTACTTCTACGCTTGCCTCCTTCACTTCTTGCACTTTTCATTTC